TTTTTTTTCCTTTTACTTTTCTTTTCTGTTTTATGACTAGTTTTCTTTTATTTTAGTTTTACAAAATACACCAATGGTTCCTAAATTGGTATTACTAATACATACTACTGCCACATTAATTTGGGTAACTAAATAAAATAGTTTAATATTTTATTTATTGTAAAAGGAATTCAACTAATTGTTTTGCTACTATTCAAAACATTTTAGAGTATCTATGCGTTTTATAAAAGTGTGGTTCCTCCACCATAATTACTTATGAATTAGTTGGAACCACCCGAACACTTTAGTTTTAATATTTGAAAACTTTTATTTTTTGACTTTATTTTGAATTTGAATTTTGAATCGGATTTGAACTAACGCGAGATTCGTCAACAGTAACCGAGGTGATGTGGCATCATTAGTGGGGATTACTGTAGCTTAATTACCCGGGCGTCACAAGCGCAGACGGGTGCGGCCGCGGTCGCGCACATGATTGGTGGCGCAGGCGGTCCAGGACCCCAACGCCGCCAGCTATGCGTCCTATGCATCACCGTCCAAAATTTGGGGCCGCACGTGGCAGACAGTGACGGACCGTCCATGTTCATCATCAATCTCACGTCCACCGACGCGGCGATGGATAGGTCGCGGACTTATCCGAGGATGAGTAGGACATGGGAGGTGGTAGGGCATTGTGTCCCAACCGGGCCGGTCCATCTCCCATGTTCTATTCTTCCTCCCGGAGACCGCACCTCCACCCAGGGTCTTGAACCCCGCCATTCTTCATGGAGACGACAGATGAAGGATGTGGTCGCTGATATGAAATGCAAAGGAAGTGGATGATGACCGCCGTCGTAGGATAGATTTTGGGTTGAGTTTATTTTCTTTTATCGTAAATTTTCAAAATGTAATGAAAATCCACCGTGCTTGCATGAATCTCATCTAGTTTATATGAAAATCCGCCGTGTTTGCATTATTTTGTGTCTGTTAGTTGAAATGGTGTCTGAAATGTATCCAGACAATATTAAATGAGTGGCTTCCGATCTATGTCTGCCGACTGGTTTTTTGGTCCGCCGACAAATGCCGGGGCAAATTTATGGGACGGCGTGGAGATGCCCTAAGAGGTTTATTTAAGGCGGCTGCTACAAATCAACCGGCTGATTTCCTGAAGAAATCAGCCGAGTCGCCAGCCATCCGATCTATCTTATCTCAGCCCTTGAAAAACAGTCAACGCACACTCGATGTCCTCTTCCCCGCACCGCATCAGCCACCCCTGCTTTGATCCCCGTCCAGGCCGCCGCTGCAAAAGCATCACGGCTGCCGCCGGCAAAGCACTTTGCAACACCGAAGCCACCGTCAGTCGCTGCATCGCAACTCCAAGAGCCGCTGGGGAGGCTCCATTGGAGCACCATGAGCCGCCGGCGAGCGTTCCATTGGGGCACCAAGCTGCTGCTTTGCAACTTCGAGCTCGCCGACGAGCGCTGCAACGTCGCAACGGGAGCCACCGGCAAGAGCTCCATTGGAGCACCGACGCGCACGGCAGCTTCGAGAGCGTCGGCCGGCGAGATCCATTGGAGCAGCAAGCGCTGCAGCTTCGATAGATGCCGGCGGCAACACAACATCGGGAGGCGGCGGCGAGAGCTTCATTGCAGCACCGCAGCCGGCGAGCTCCACGGGGGTCGCAGCACCGCGTGTGCTGCACTGAGAGCGCCGGCGAGCTCCATTGGAGTACCGAGCGCTGCACTGCAGCTCGACATCACACCGACGAGCGCTGCAACGCAGCACCAAGAGCCGCCGGCGAGCGCTCCATTGCAGCACTGCCGCCGACGAGCTCCATGGGGTCGCAACGCCGCTTGTGCTGCACTGCATCTCCGCCGCCGTCGCGAGATCCACAGGGACGCAGCTACCTCCGGCGATGAGCGGCGCCCAACTCCGGCCTCCCCGTGTTCGCTGCAGCACCGGCGACGAGCAGCGCCAGCCTCCGGCCTCCTGCTTCATGTTGTGGCGCCGGCCTCAGGCTCTTTCTCTTGCTTGTGACGGTAGAGGAAAGGGGAAAAAGAGGAGGAGTGGGGGAGAAGGTCTGGAGACGAAGGAAGAGATAAGGCTTTGCTGGTTGCAAATGGTGTGTGGGGTCGGACACGTGGCGTGCGCTGCAGGCGGTTTGCGCAGCGTGAAAATCATCCGGCTTAAAGAGAACGTTTTTCTTTATTTAACGCTAAAAAAGGTTTATTTAACACCTTGTATCGGCTGTGCGACGTTATTTATGAAGCGGGTGAAAGTGAACGCAACCGAACTGTGCGACGTTATTATGCAAAAAAAGCGTTCGCTGAACAATCAGCCTCTGGCTGCTTATCTCAGTAAGCCAACTCTCAGTCACATCTAATGGAACGCAACCGAACTGAACAAAGTATGTTTGCTCGACCATGGCGTACGTGGCCGTCCCGCGTGTAGCGGCGTGTGGATATCTTTGTACTACTGCTGCCTCGCCCTCCCGCTCCATATAAACCTCGAGCGAGCAATGCCGCACATTTCCTGGCGCGACACACTGCAGTACAAGCGCTCCCGCTTCCATCCGTCATCCGATTGACACGCTGCACCAGCCAAAAAGCCACTGACCTCACAGCCTCGCTCCGCCCGCCATGGCCGCTGCCACGGTGCGGTCGACGTTGCCCCGCTGCCTCCTCCTCCTCCTCCTCCTGTCCACGGCGCTTGCCTCCGCCGCCACCTCGCCGCGGCTCGTGCTCCTGGCGCCGTCCGGCTCGCACACGCCGTGCCTGGACAACCCGCCCGACCTGACGGCCGCGGCCGACGAGGCGGGCGAGCTCGTCCGCGACCTCGGCAGCCTCCCGGCCTACGTCACCGGATCCCGCAGCTCCACGCGCGCCATCGTCCTCGCCTCCGACTACTTCGGTCAGTGCTCAGAGTCACCGAGGCCACTTAGCAAGCCGAAGGAACGTCTCTGTTCCTACTCCAGTGTACGTGACTCCATTAATGAATCTTCTTTTCTGCAGGCTTCCAAGCGCCAAAACTGAGGTACGTACGTACTTGCCACTGTTTGATTGACTTGAAAGAACCACTTTCTGCTTCAAATTGTTTCTCTCCAAACTTGTTTTGTTTCATTCTGCCTGCATTCTTGAGTTTCATCTCGCTTGTGCGAGGCGAATGAATTTAACAATGTGTGTACCGTGTGTGTTCCCAAGGAAAATCGCGGATCAGGTTGCGGATGATGGATACTTGGTCGTGGTTCCTGATTTGCTGCACGGGGACCCGTTCAGGGATGAGGCCAAGATTTCATTTCAAGATTGGCTGAAAACCCACTCTCCGGTTCGTTCATTTTCCGTTCTTATCCTGCTTGTTGTATTGTTTGTAATAGTTGGTCTGTATGACTATAACGGATGGCACAATACTGAAACTCTAGCGCTCTCCCTAAGGCTATAATGGATATGCAGACCACTTGCCATTGGTTTCCCAAGTACATTTTGAAAGAAAAGAAAAAGATGAAATTCTCTCTCCAGCACATTACATCACATGAAAATATTCAGTATCCTACTAAGGGCATCTACCACACTTAACTGTATTTTCATGGAAAGCACACTTAATCATAAGAAATGCTGCAGCTTTTCCATCTGAATGTTTCAGTATCAGGATAGGAAACATAACAAATACTGATTTCTCTCTTGTTCGTTGCTGTTACAGGTGGAGGCAGCTGAAAAGACTAAAGTGCTTATTGCTGCTCTGAAGAAGCAAGGGGTGTCTGAAGCTGGGGTTGGAGGTTATTGCTGGGGTGGTGGGTTAACTCACTTCAACTACATGAACACCGAGCAATCATTGTTTTAATTTTTACCACTCCCTCCGATCCATATGAATTGTTGATGATTTCTAAGTCATCGATCTAAATCATCAACAATTAATATGAATCGGAGGGAGTAGCATTCTTCAACTAACCGCTCCATTGTCTTTCGTAATAGCAAAAATCATCAACAATTAATATGGATCGGAGGGAGTAGCATTCTTCAACTAACCACTCCCTTGTCTTTCGTAATAGCAAAGGTAGCTGTGGAGCTATCAAAGTCTGAAGAAATTCAAGTGGTTGTCATTTCGCACCCTTCACTAGTGACTGTCGATGACATGAAGGGTGTGTGTCTTATTTCCATCTCACTTAATTAGGCTTTCCCTGCTGATTCTTCCTCGTGTATGCTAAAAATTCACTTTCACTAGAAGAATGCGCTGCATATCCTTTTCTCTAACTCGGTAACTCCATTTTGCATGCTCAGAGGTCAAGCATCCCATTGAGATTCTCGGAGGAGAGCTTGATCAAGCTTCTCCACCGCCGATAGTGCACCAGTTTGAACAGGCCTTGGATCAGAACAACAAGGTACATTCTTCCTAGTAGCTTCATTTCATACTTCGTGAAGATTGACCACTAAATTTTAATCTGCCATTTTACAGATTGACCACTTCGTGAAGATCTTCCCGGGAGTAGCCCACGGTTTCGCTTGCAGATACAACGCCAGCGACGCGTTCGCCGTCAAAACTGCCGAAAAAGCTCGTGCAGACATGCTCAGCTGGTTCAACAAGTATCTGAAGAAGCACCAAGAGCTTTCGCTCCACGAATCTTAGAAACTCGATCGCTCCAAGCTGTTTTGAACAAGTCACCCTTTTAGTTTTGTATAAATCGACGCCTTTTCATTAGTTTAGAAGTACAGAATTAAGGAGCTCTTGCCTTTCTGAATAAATTGCACATCGGTGCTGAACTTTTTAGGCGTAGCTTGGTCGTGTATGCAATGCAATAATAAAATAGTTCCTCTAGTTTGATTCAGCTGTACTTTCTTTTTGTTCTTCTCTGCATGGGAAATTTGAGTATTTGCCTAGCATATTTATGTGCAGAAAATTAATTGAATGCGATGCAAGTGGTGAATGGCGGATATGAGAAATTACAGATCAACAAGGTGTCTCACACAATGATGAATATATGATATTACATACTACTGTATTAACAAATGGGTTTCTGAAAAAAAAAATGAAACTAATATATTACAGATTTACAAGGTGTCACAGACAAAACCAGAAAAAAGTTTCCGTCGCCGGGACTTGAACCCGGGTCTCTCGGGTGAGAGCCGAGTATCCTAACCACCTAGACTACGACGGAATTGCTGTATGACATTAAGAATTCCCTGTAAAGTTAAAGACACAACGGGAGGAGTAGCACCGGAAGAGTAAGGAGATGAGAGGGGGTGCAACGCTGGCGGCATCTCCAACTCCTGGTTGGGTGCGGTGCGTGGAGGCCCAACACATTTGTTGTGGGAGAAACAACCGTGCGACGACCACACGCTCCCTTCCGTCTTCCCTCTCTCCGCCTCCCCCTCTACTTGAGAGTCGTTCAAGACAACACGGTTTGATCCCATATACATCGTCGGACGGCGATGGCTAAAGAGACGCGTTCGGAATCTCCTTGTATATAATCGTGCAATCGTTGGCCAGGTGTTGCTGTTTGGTGTCATGTCGTTGGGATGCCAACCACTAGAGTGGTGGTGGTCGTCGCCTTCATCTTCGACTCCATGGTGGAGGGAAGTGGAAGGTGTCGAATCCGGCAGAATTCCCCTCAATAAGCACGCGGTGCCATCTCTAAAAAAATTCCAACAAGTACTGGCATTTCATTCATAATAGTAGGCAGAGTATGTACAGTGCCAAAAGGCAAGGACTAACGTAAGAAAAATAAAATAAATTGAAAGAGAAGCTCAGGGAGATCAAGTACATTCCCGAAAGGGCCATGCATGCACTTAGCGCTTGTAGACGTCTTCGAGAGTCCTATGTAGCGCCATCTGGAGTAGTTGCGGTAGTATTCCTCTAATCCGTTACAGTGGCAGATGGAATAACGATGGGTTATCCCATAACATGAGAATCGACAGAGAAGATGCAGATGTAGACGGTCCGTTTCACTGAATGTGGACTTGGAGAGCCTATGGCGTCCATAATGGTTGGCTAGTCTTCTCAGGTTTTCGAATATTATGGCCGAACGGCGGCCCCTTTTATTTCCCTGGCCATGATGCCACAGAGGAAGCAGTGCGGCTTCCGTGCGGAGCCTATGGCGTGCAAACCTGCAGAGCACATGGGGCCAAGTGGACTCGTCCCTGGCGTCGACGATCTTAGTTATGCATGGAAGTTGTTTCAGATCTGATTACATTTCCGTTTTGCCTCTTGAGGTTCTTGCATAAACTAGGATCAAGCATTGCAGATTTCATGATACGTTTTCATATTGTTACCTTATTATTTTTAAATGTTTAGCAAATACAGAAATATTACCGTCATCCATATCACCTATCTACCATTATCAATCTCTTCGCCAGACTAGTGCACTTATATAATTGATAATTGTATTAGGTTTGCTTGGAACACAAGAGACTTCTCATATATTGTTGCGGGGTTGCATATGTTATGATTTAAGATCTGGATTGTTTTGGAATAGCAGCACGATATGAAAGACTACAATAGTGCAAAGAACAATTTATTCATAGCGCAATCAACATAAAGAAAATAACATCGGGAACAACGCCATTGCAGAAAAGAAGACTCAACTGGCATCACTAGAAAGTGAAGCCCGACCCACGGAACTTCTCCTCGCATATCGCATCCAGACGTTTAGCCATCTCAGGGGTCAAGTGGTTCACCCAGTCTCCCACCACCCCATTCCTGAAATAGGAGTCATGCGAGAACTTGAAGAACACTCCTTGGGAGCCTTTCTTGTTCACCTCTAAATTTTTAAGATTCTCCAAGCTGCAGAGCTCAACAATCTCTGCAACGACACCGGCCTCCTCCTCTGTGTCAGAGAATGGCCTCCCAAGGAACTGGGCTAGCTTCCTGACTTTGTCCAGCGGATCCTGAAGCATCTGCTCGTAGGTAAGGAAAAGCACTCTGCTTGGCTCTGCATTGCTTGCCCTCCAGTATCCGAGGATGTGATCCCAAAAAGGTCCGCCGTTACTTGTGCCTTCACAGACAGTCTCGAACATCTCTTGGAGTGATATGTCAGGTTGAGCACGATTGATGAAGTGCCACAATGATACCACCATATCCTTTGGATCCCTGCCAACGAGCACCTACGATGTCATCTACTCTTTTTTTAGGGAAAACGCCACCATGGCTTACTGTATTTCACGGTTCAGCAAGGGCTTACCTCATTCACAAGGAGAGCTGGAATAAAATCGTGTGGATTGCATTTTTAAAAGTCATTTATGTTATATATACTATAACCCACTAAAATTAAATAATTAATACAACAACACTACCTGCAAATGTAGACGATTTTGCAGTAGGGTCCTCCGGAGATGGACGGCGGCAGCACCGACAGCGGCATGTGCGTGCACATGAGCCTCGGCGACGGCAGCGCGTCCAGCACAGCCTCGCGGCCGACGGCGAAGAGCCTGTCCACGAGGGGCACGCAGTCGTGTGGGTTGAGGCGGCGGAGCGGGTGGGCGGGGCTGGCCGGCGGGCACGCGGCGCGGACCATCGTGGCGAATATCAGGGCCTTGAGCCACGTGGTGCCGCTCTTGGGAACGCTCGCAAGAACCACGTCGCCGGGGCGCGCCGCGAAGCTGCGCTGCATGGCCATGATGCCTGGTGCCCACTCCTCTCGCACCCACACGCCCTGGTAGCAGCGCCGCTTCAGCTTGCTGTTGCTGGCATGGTTCTGGTTCGTCGGGAGGGACGCGACGGCGGCGGCGTACTCCGTGGGAGGGTGCACAGGGATTGTGCCGTCGTCGGCGTCCTTGAACGCCACGGGGCCATGGAGGAGACGACGTTTCGCTACCAACCATCTGATCTGCTGAATGAGGTGATGGAAGGGTAGCTAGTGATCACATATACATATAGTATCATATGCCGCTGGGTTAAGGGCATCTTCATTCCGGACCCTCAAGCCATTCACATACGTCTGAGCCACGCTGCTTGGACGTGTTCTGTCATTCAATATAGATCTGTATTTATTCATTTGGTGTTCCGGACACATTTTTTTTGCAGATCAAAAATAAAGTGGGGGACTTTGCGGGCGTCCGATCGCTGCCATGTCCGTTCCTGACCGCCCTGGCTCACTCAAACACCCCCCTTCGCTCGCGCGCTTTTCCTGCCGCCTCTTCAGAGCATTAGTGCCGCATTCACGTTCGACTAGAGTGGATGCGGCCTCTCACTTCTACTGGCATTGAAGCGGCGCCTCGGCTGAGAGAGCGCCGCATGCGCTGTTTCCCAGTGCATGCGACTGCTTCGCATTCAAACGACACCACGGTTGTATGTCACCCTACATTAAATGAAACGCGGTTTGCCGAGGAACCTACTCAGTTGCTACTCATCCGTCCGTCTGCTACCCACCATTTGTTGGGGAACGTAGCAGGAATTCAAAATTTTCCTACGTGTCACCAAGATCTATCTATGGAGAAACTAGCAACGAGGGGAAGGAGAGTGCATCTACATACCCTTGTAGATCGCTAAGCGGAAGCGTTCAAGTGAACGGGGTTGATGGAGTCGTACTCGTCGTGATCCAAATCACCGATAACCAAGTGCCGAACACACGGCACCTCCGCGTTCAACACACATACAACCCGGTGACGTCTCCCATGCCTTGATCCAGCAAGGAGAGAGGGAGAGGTTGAGGAAGACTCCATCCAGCAGCGGCACAACGGCGTGGTGGTGGTGGAGGAGCGTGGCAATCCTGCAGGGCTTCGCCAAGCACCACGGGAGAGGGGAGGGCTGCACCAAAGGCAAAAGTATGGCTGCCCTCCCACCCCCACACATATATATAGGGGCAAGGGAGGGGGGGGGGGGCGCAGCCTTGGCCCTTCCTCCAAGGAAGGGTGCGGCTAGGGAGGAGTCCCTCCTCCCCAAGGCACCTCGGAGGTGCCTTCCCCCTTTAGGACTCTTCCTTTCCTTATCCCTTGGCGCATGGGCCTCTTGGGGCTGGTGCCCTTGGCCCATATAGGTCAACGCGCACCCCCTTACAGCCCATGTGGCCCCCCGGGGCAGGTGGCCCCTCCCGGTGGACCCCCGGGACCCTTCCGGTGGTCCCGGTACAATACCGGTGACCCCGAAACTTGTCCGGTGACCAAAACAGGACTTTCCATATATAAATCTTTACCTCCGGACCATTCCGGAACTCCTCGTGACGTCCGGGATCTCATCCGGGACTCCGAACAACATTCGGTAACCACATACAAACTTCCTTTATAACCCTAGCGTCATCGAACCTTAAGTGTGTAGACCCTACGGGTTCGGGAGACATGCAGACATGACCGAGACGTTCTCTGGTCAATAACCAATAGCGGGATCTGGATACCCATGTTGGCTCCCACATGTTCCACGATGATCTCATCGGATGAACCACGATGTCGAGGACTTAATCAATCCCGTATACAATTCCCTTTGTCTAGCGGTACGATACTTGCCCGAGATTCGATCATCGGTATCCCGATACCTTATTCAATCTCGTTACCGGCAAGTCTCTTTACTCGTTCCGTAACACATCATCCCATGATCAACTCCTTGATCACATTGTGCACATTATGATGATGTCCTATCGAGTGGGCCCAGAGATACCTATCCGTTTACACGGAGTGACAAATCCCAGTCTCGATTCGTGCCAACCCAACAGACACTTTCGGAGATACCTGTAGTGTATCTTTATAGCCACCCAGTTACGTTCTGACGCTTGGCACACCCAAAGCACTCCTACGGTATCCGGGAGTTGCACAATCTCATGGTCTAAGGAAATGATACTTGACATTAGGAAAGCTTTAGCATACGAACTACATGATCTTGTGCTAGGCTTAGGATTGGGTCTTGTCCATCACATCATTCTCCTAATGATGTGATCCCGTTATCAATGACATCCAATGTCCATGGTCAGGAAACCGTAACCATCTATTGATCAACGAGCTAGTCAACTAGAGGATTACTAGGGACATGGTGTTGTCTATGTATCCACACATGTATCTGAGTTTCCTATCAATACAATTCTAGCATGGATAATAAACGATTATCATGAACAAGGAAATATAATAATAACTAATGTATTATTGCCTCTAGGGCATATTTCCAACAGTCTCCCACTTGCACTAGAGTCAATAATCCAGTTCACATCGATATGTGATTAACACTCAAGGTCACATCCCCATGTGACTAACACCCAAAGAGTTTACTAGAGTCAATAATCTAGTTCACATTTACCATGTGATTAACACTCAATGAGTTCTGGGTTTGATCATGTTATGCTTGTGAGAGATGTTATAGTCAACGGGTCTGAATCTTTCAGATCCGTATGTACTTCGCAAATCTCTATGTCATCTTGTAGATGCAACTACTACGCTACATTTGGAGCTATTCCAAACAACTGTTCTACTATACGAATCCAGTTTACTACTCAGAATAATCTGGATTAGTGTCAAAGTTTGCATCGGCGTAACCCTTTACGACGAACTCTTTTACCACCTCCATAATCGAGAAAATTCCTTAGTCCACTAGTTACTAAGGATAACTTTGACCGCTGTCCTGTGATCCATTCTTAGATCACTCTTGTACCCCTTGACTGACTCATGGCAAGGCACATTTCAGGTGCGGTACACAGCATAGCATACTGTAGAGCCTATGTCTTAAGCATAGGGGACGACCTTCGTCCTTTCTCTCTATTCTGCCGTGGTCGAGCTTTAAGTCTTAACTTCATACCTTACAACTCAGGCAAGAACTCCTTCTTTGACTGATCCATCTTGAACACCTTCAAGATCATGTCAAGGTATGTGCTCATTTGAAAGTACCATTAAGCGGTTTGATCTATCCTTATAGATCTTGATGCTCAATGCTCAAGTAGCTTAATCCAGGCTTTCCATTGAAAAACACTTTCCAAATAACCCTATATGCTTTCCAGAAATTCTATGTCATTTCTGATCAACAATATGTCTACAACATACACTCATCAGAAATTCTATAGTGCTCCCACTCACTTCTTTGGAAATACAAGTTTCTCATAAACTTTGTATACACCCAAAATCTTTGATCATCTCATCAAAGCATACATTCCAACTCCGAGATGCTTACTCCAGTCCCTAGAAGGATTGCTGGAGCTTTGCATACTTATTAGCATCTTTCAAGATTGACAAAACCTTCCGGTTGTATCACATACAACCTTTCCTCAAGAAAATCGTCGAGGAAACAATGTTTTGACATCCTATCTACAAGATTTCATAAATAATGCAGTAATCGCTAATATAATTCCAACAGACTCTTAGCATCGCAACGAGTGAGAAAGTCTCATCGCAGTCAACTCCTTGAACTTGTCGGAAAACATCTTAACGACAAGTCAAGCTTTCTTAATGGTGATACTTACCATCATTGTCCATCTTCCTTTTAAAATCCATATGTACCTAACAGCCTTACGACCATCAAGTAGTTCTTCCAAAGTCTACACTTTGTTTTCATACATGGATCCTATCTCGGATTTTATGGCCTCGAGCCATTTATCAGAATCCGGGCCCACCATCGCTTCTCCATGGCTCGTAGGTTCATTGTTGTCTAGCAACATGACTTCCAAGACAGGATTACGTACCACTCTGAAGTAGTACGCATCCTTGTCATCCTACGAGGTTTGGGAGTGACTTGATCCGAAGTCTCATGATCAATATCATAAGCTTCCACTTCAATTGGTGTAGGTGCCACAGGAACAACTCTTTGTGCCCTGCTATACACTAGTTGAAGTGACGGTTCAGTAACCTCATCAAGTCTCCACCATCCTCCCACTCAATTCCTTCGAGAGAAACTTTTTCTCGAGAAAGGACCCGATTCTAGAAACAATCCCTTATTGCTTTCGAATCTGAGACAGGAGGTATACCCAACTGTTTTGGGTGTCCTATGAAGATGCATTTATCCGCTTTGGGTTCGAGCTTATCAGCCTGAAACTTTTTCACATAAGCGTCGCAGCCCCACACTTTTAAGAAATGACAGCTTAGGTTTCTCTAAACCATAGTTCATACGGTGTCATCTCATCGGAATTACGTGGTGCCCTATTTAAAGTGAATGTGGTTGTCTCTAATGCCTAACCCATGAGCTATCGTGGTAATTCGATAAGAGACATCATGGTATGCATCATATCCAATAGGGTGCAGTTATGATGTACGGACACACCATCACACTATGGTGTTCCAGGTTGTATTAGTTGTGAAACGATTTCCACAATGTCTTAATTCTGTGCCAAACTCGTAATTCAGATATTCATCTCTATGTTCATATCATAGATATTTTATCCTCTTGTCACGACGATCTTTCAACTTCACCCTGAAATTACTTGAACCTTTCAATAATTCAGACTCGTGATTCATCAAGTAAATATAATCAACATCTACTCAAATCATCTGTGAAGAACATAACGATATCCACTATACGCCTCAGCACTCATTGGACTGCACACATCAAAATGTGTTACTTCCAACAAGTTGCTATCTTGTTCCGTCTTACTAAAACGAGGCTTTCAGTAATCTTGCCCATGTGGTATGATTTGCATGTCTCAAGTGATTCAAGATCAAGTGAGTCCAAACGGTCCATTTGCATGGAGTTTCTTCATGCATATACACCAAT